CTTTTATGGACAAGGTGCTTTTCCCTCCGCCTAGGGGCCGGGCCTTCAGGCACCAGGAAGTCTTGCCAAGCTTAATGTAGACTTCACGGGTTGCTCATTCCTGAATATTTCCTGCAAATTAATAACATGAAAATGTTACGTAGCAGTTACCCTGAACATAAAACCTTGAACCCATCAACAAGGTATCCTATCCTACCAGTCTCAGCAGAAGAGCACATTCAAGGCTCGTGTCCTTACAGGTGACTCTACTTAAAGCCAGCAGAGCTGGAAAAGCAAACATTCTACTTGCTCCCTTCACCATTCTGCTTAATACGAAGGCCCCGCCCAGGCTGGATTGTGCCTGATAGTGTGAGAGGTGAGAACAAGAACAGCAGGCCCCGGGATAAGGGGAGCCCCCAGCCTGCCCTGGCCAGGGAGATCAGGGCTCCCTGCTAGCAACAACTGTCCTGCTCGCAGCTGCTCCTGGGGCTTTGCTGTTCCCAGTGTGTCAGGAGCCAAAAAAATGTACTTGACAATAGAAATCTTTGAGAGGGTAGAGAAAAGGCAAGACACTATAACTTCATTGTGAGAAAAGGCAAATACCCTGCTTCTATCATACAGTTGTCAAAAGGGTGGGCTTCAGGATTTGGTGGGGCAAGGAAGTCCTGAGTGCCTCCCTTTTGCCCAGGAGAGACGATCTGGGGGGAGGGAAGGGGCTGCCAAAAATAAGTCTTAATTTTTTTATTTATTTTTTTACCAAAACAAGAAATATCAATATGGTCTAAAGCAAAACAAAATAAAATACTATGAAAAAAAATAGGTTCAAGAAATCTTACCAACTTAAAAAGCTAGCTGAACAACTCCAGGTAACAACCAAACCCAAACTGAGTGGCAAGGAGGAGGGTGTTTCCACTGAGCATCTTGAGAGCTGTTTGTTCCCAGGGTGAACCAGGCTATAAGAAACAGCGGAAGGCATTCCACTATACCCAACAATTTATCCCTCAAAACATTCATACCTGCTTCCTGTATCTGTATTTATGAGTATATTTATGTACATTTTTACATATTCATTCTGAAAAAATCAATGTCCCATTAATAATCCTCAAAAGATCTTTTCCTTGAACAGCCATTATGCCACCCCTGTTCCTAGAATAGAAAACAGAAAAGTCAAGCTCATTTACGAGTTCAACTGTTAGGTGCTTACTGGCCCCTCCAGTGTTCTAAGCACTGTACTAGGCCCTGGGTACATGGAAACAGCGTCCACACTTCAAATATCAACAACATGTTTGCACAGTAGTCTTGCTACTTTGCTGGTTAAGACTTTTCTGCTTTTTTAAAAAAATTGCTTTGGTTACAGACATAGCAAAACTTAGTTGCTGCCTGAAGTAAACTTTTTAACAACTTACCTTCAAATGCTAAAAAAACAAGTTTTCCCAGAAGTGCACACACTACTTACTTGAGAGAAGCCATAAAAATCTAAGGCAGGCCAGGCAGAAACTCCATTAGGGAGTGTGGGGTGCTCAGTTTCTCCAGTCCCGGGGTACACTTTGAAGTCAGCAGCTATCAGCTGAGGGACCAGAGCCTGACAAGCTTCCCCGCTGGCCTGGCCGGCGGGAAGATAGATGTCTGCTGCTACTTAAAGCAGGCACTCACAGGCAAGAAGGCTGTGCATGCAACACGCACAAGAATTCATTCCACGAGGCAACCGCTTTGTAGGTATAGATCAATGGTTCTCAAATGGCAGTGATTTTGCTCCCTGTGGCTTATTTGGCAATGTTAGAGACATTTTAGTTGTCACAACTTGGGGGCTCTACTAGAATCTAGTTGGTAGAGGCCAGGGATGCTGCTAAATATGCTACAAGGCACAGAACAACCCCCAAAACAAAGAATGAACCAGCCCAAAATGACAATGCTACCCAGTTTGAGAAACCCTGGCCCTGCTCTAAGTAACAACTGCTAGTCCCAGGTGCTCCTGTTTCTTATTATTTGGCCATTCATACATGAAGCTAATACATAAAACATCTAGTTCAATGTTTTTTTCTCAATCGTTAGCATTAGCTTCAAATTGTCGTCCAACAAGCAACAAGTCTTTATGCCTAAATCACAGTGGGGAAAGTTACCAAAGAACAGGCTGCCACTTAGTGATAAGGAGTCCCTACCATTTTCCTGTCCTTGGAAATATATCACTACCACACTTATTGTTTCTACTCTCACAGGACATAACAAGATTTTCTTCACTGGACAGTTTAACAAAAGGATGCTCTGTTATAAGACACTAAACAGCAAGAAAGGATCTATGTTAAGAGTCTGTCTTCAATTAACAGAACACTGTGTGGCCACTCTGACTGGCCCTACTGGTCTCCACCTTAGGGGCAGAACTTTGAAGGCTGATTAGAAATACATCTCAAGATTAAAAGTACAACTTTAAGTAAGTGAAAATATCCCCAAAATGAAAATTTTCACCAGCAACAGAGAGAAAATGCTCTGGATTCTATAACAAGCTCTTTAACCTTGGGCAAGTGAGTTAACAACTTTGAATTAAAATTCTTCATCTAGAATATAAAGGGGATAGAGTAGATGATCGCTAAAGGCGAACTTCAATATTATATTCATCATTGAAATAAAATCCAACTGGGAATGCAGACTGGTGGAGCCACTATGGAAAACAGTATGGAGGTTCCTCAAAAAATTAAAAATGGAACTGCCTTTTGACCCAGTGATCCCACTTCTAGGACTATATTCTAAGAATCCTGAAACACTAATCAGAAAGAATATATGCATCCCTATGTTCAGAGCAGCACAATTTACAATAGCTAAGATCTAGAAACAGCCCAAGTGTCCCTCAGTAGATGAGTGGATAAAAAAGCTGTGGGACATTTACATCATGGAATACTACGCAGCTATAAAGAAGAAGGATCTCATACCCTTTGGGACAGCATGGATGGACCTGGAGAATATTATGCTAAGCAAAATAAGCCAGGCAGAGAGAGACAACTATCACATGACCTCACTTATATGTGGAATCTAAAGAACTTAATAAACTGATGAGCAGAATAGATTCAGCGACATGGAAGCATGGATCAGGCTGACAAATCTCAGAGGGAAGGTGGGGGTGGAGAGAGATTAACCGAAGAATTTATATGCATATATGCATAACCCATGGACACAGACAATAGTGTGGTGAGGGACTGGGGTGGGGGGGTGGAAGGGGTCAATGGGGAGAAAAAGGGACATCTGTAATATTTTGAACCATTAAAATAAAAATAAATAAATAAAAAAGAAATAAAATCCAACAACTAGGTTTTCTTGCACTGAACCAAGCAAGGTACATAGTGTAAGGAAAACGGTTTTTAACCAGAAATTGTGAGGGGCAGCTATCCCCTGTTATCCTGCAGTTCTCCCCACTTGCACTAGGGGGCAGAGCTCTTCCCAAGGGGACCCACCCCCTGTAGTCCACAGGCTTCATGGGGACTGGGATCCCCAAAAAACCCAATACAAATTCTATGTCTCATCATATTTCCTAAGGGACCCAGAACACACAAAAACAAAATAAAGTCCCCCAAAAAGGTTAAGAATTAATGTCCTGCAGGCAGAGCCTAGGTTTTCTTACAGATAAAGGTGATTATACACAGTCACTGGTCTTTCATTATTGGTTAACCTGAAACTCCTACAAAAAGTTCTGGTGCCTTCTTACAGGCATGAAGTTCTAGGCATGAAATCTCACATTTATAGATTTCATTCTTTAAAAAAAAGTTAAAATACATGTTAATGGATGATTAATTCCTTTCCAGCCCACCTCTCATAGAGAATGGGGGTATCATGTGAGATGCCACTTTGAAAAAAACCTGGATATTACTATTACACAAGAACATTATTTATCATTTGGGCCATTATAAATAGTTGTCTAAGTGGGAATCCAGAAAGCAAAAATGACTTGAAATATTATATCCAATTATGCCTGATAAAGCAAGTTAGCCAACACAGAGGCAAACCCTCCCCAATCCAATTTGCTAGAACGTTCCAAAACTGTCCTAGATTCAGGAAGCAACCCCTGGCTTTCAATGAAAGTCACATCAGACTCCCTTAAGTCAACTAAGTTTACTTTGAGCCACTTCAAACCTCAAACTTAAACAGAATTTATTAAATAAACACAACCAAGAAAGGAAAGGGAGCCAAGAAACCACAGTAACTCTCGATCCCAGGAAAAAAAAGAGGGGTGGGGGTTCTCAAGTCAAGGATTTCAAGTAACCGTGGTGTCCCGCCCTCAATGAACCCTAAAAAGGGGCATCAGTTTATTCTTTTAAAATAGCCATTGTCTGCCCTAAACGACTTTCTTTACATTCAAATTCAAAATCTGCCAAGGACAGTCGGCACAACTACATGATCTTTTGATCTCGCTTTCTGTAGCGATCTCAAACCCTAAAAGAGCGCTTCTTGGTAAGAGCTAGAAGTTAGACGCCAGAGGTCCGGCGAGCAGAGAACACGGCGAGCGATTAACCCTCGCCTTTCCCGCTCACACTTCATCCAAGCCCGTCTCCCCTGGACGCGTCTGCACCCCTCGCACAGGAAGCCGGCACGTTTTGCAAAGGAAATACCAGACCTTTCTCGGAGAAAGGCACGTCCCGGTTGAACATTTTATTGGGCTTCCTGCACCCTGGCAGTCGGGCAAGCAGATGTCCTGGCCAGGCCCCTGCGCCCGCCGCCTCACCTCGCGCGGGCGCCGCGGGGACCCCGGTGAGCCAGCGACCCGCGCAAGAGGAAGCTCACCTTCCCTACCTCCCGGCAAGTGGAAGCGCGGGACAGAACAAAACCTGCCTCGGCTTACTCCCCCGGAGGGTGAGGGGGTGCTCTCAGGTGACTCCCGGGAAGTTTCGTCCTCTCGGGCTCAGGGCGAAACCCGGCGGGCGCGCGGCGCGGTGGGCAGATCCCTCCCTGAGGGCACCCGGGCCGGGGCCGGACGGGAAGGGAGCCCGCGCCCGGTTCGCGGAAAGCAGCCCGAGCGGGGCCGCGGGCGCACTCACCTCGGGGAAGAAGTTGTCCATTGTTCCAGCGCGTTTCCCCACTCGCCCGAGTCGGGCGTCCAGCTCGCGGAAGTCAGCCCAGCAGAAGGTCCGGGGAAACCATGCGTGTCACGGCGCGACTCCCAGGAACTCGAGCCCTCGGGGCTCCCCCGCTGCCATCGCCTTATCCCCTTCTCGTCTTTCGCACCTTTTGTTCGCCCAAAGCCAATTCTCTAACTTCGGCGTCCCAAACGCAGCCTTTGTCTCCTCTTCCTCCAAGTTCTTCACTTCTGGGCGCAGCGCGCGCGAGCGGAGAACAGCTGGTGGCACATTCTTCCCCGGGGCTCTAGGGGAGAGCGGCGGGGAATTTGGGAGCGCGCCCCCTCCCTCTGAGCTGGGGCGAGGGGCGCTGGGCGCCTGCAAGGGGACAGCGGCCACAAAGCGAGCCCCGAGTCGTT